TTTTATTCTAATGTGGAAAACAGCAAATAATTTTTATATATATATATTATATTATATATATATATATATATATATATATATATATATATATATATATGTATATATATATGTATATATATATGTATATATATATGTATATATATATGTATATGTATATATATATACATATATATATACGTATATATATATATGTATATATATATATATATACACACACACATATATATACATATATATGTATATATATGTATATATATATGTATATAGTACAATATATATGTATGTCTCTATACTGTCAGCACTAAATAAACTTTTAATTATTTGCCTTATATTTAGCTAGAGATTTTCAGATTCAGTCTTACCACAGAAAGGAGAAAAAACTAAAAGCAGAATCAATAGAAATTGGCAAACATGTGCCCTCCTTATTTGTGATGGCACATAAAAGGAGGGTGTAGAAAAGCCTGTTTCAGTCATTCCTCTTGCTAAAGAAACAAACTGAAGTGAGGAGAAGGAGGAGAAGATGATAACAATGCCCACAGGAAGAAATCATCATAAAGCAATCCATTGCTGCTCCAGATGCCAGCAGGAAGGTGACAATGCAGGAGTTATCATCTTCTATCTTTTATGATTGGGAAAATCAGAAAGGCATTAACAGTGTCAGTTCCTTCTTGATGCCAGTACTGACAACTGGATGCAACAGGCTGCCCAGGAAAAAGCAAGCTTAATTCAAGCCTACCTAAACCCAGTGACTTATGTTTCCAGATAGCCCACAGGGATATTTATTTATTTATTTACACTTAATAGTATTTGTTTTTTTCCAATTACATGTGAAGATAATTTTCAACATCCACTTTTGTAAGATTTTGAGTTCCATTTTTTTTCTCTCTTCTTCCCCTCCCCTCTCCTCAACATGATATGCAATCTGATATACAGGGACATTTAGCTCCCTGTCTTTAAACTTAATAAACATTATATGATTTAGGGGAGGTTTTTTTTTTAATATTCTTGCCACATAGAAAATAAGAGAGATTGTTAGCAGAAGATGAATTAGTAGATCAAGACATACATTTTAATTTTGGTACCTTTTCCATGTTGGGACTTTAATTCTCTAAAATTCTGAAAATATAGAATATAAAAAGTCATATCTACACTCCCTAATTTCTCTCCCTCTTTTTTACAACTTTTCTGTTGTGTCATAACTATTCAATAGGAGAATTAATACATTAATACATGGCACCCAGGGACATACTCCAATTCATAGAACAAAACCATCCATTGTTCACTCTGTGGGTGTCCATCCCTTCAAAGCCATAAGTCACAGTCACTGCTTATGTGATCTTCTTTATAACTTAGCCAGAGGACACAATTACCTTCACATGAAGGTATTCAATGAAATTGCATAGTAAGAAAAACAGAATTACAGGATCAAAAAATCATAGATTTGCATTAGGAAGGATCTGTGTATCCTCTTACTTCTCCAACCCAGATAAGAAGGAATCCACAACGCCACATACCTAAGAGGTTGTCCAGCCTCTGCTTGAGAACCTCCAAGAAAAGAGAGGTCATCATTTCTCTCTCTAGGCAGTTCATTCAATTTTTTGACAGCTCTGTTTTCTAAAGTTTCCTTTTAGAAATTTCTACCCATTGCCCCTGGTTCTACCCTCTGGAGCCAAACAGAGAAAGCATAATCCTTCTTCCAAATGACAACTGTTCAAAAACTTAAAAAGAGCCATCATATTCCTTCTGAGTATTCTTTTCTCCAGGTTAAGCATACCCAGGTCCTTCAGATGATTCTCATGAAGCATGGACTCTTCACCATTCTTGGCACGTAGAGCATGGCGCCTTCTTTGTTGTGGGCAAGCCATGCTGGATGTTTTTTGTTCTTTGTTCTTTTTTTTTTTATGCTAGTATCTCCCACGTCTCACAATTGAAACCAAAGTTCTTTAGAGAGACCATGAGAGTGTTCTTGTATTGATTCTTCTGACCTCCCTTGTGTGAGATCTCTGTAATATAGTCTTAGGCAAATGTATGTTTGGCATTCAAACAATGTGGCCAGCCCATGAGAGTTGCACTTTCTGCAGTAGAGTCTGAATGCTTGACAGTTCAATTCAAGAAAGGATTTCAGTATCTGGCACTTTGTTTTGTCAGGTGATCTTCAGATTCTTCCTAAAATAATCCAAATGGAAGTGACTCAGTTTCCTGGTGTGGTGCTGTCACTCTGTCCAGGTTTCACAGGCACACAACTCTCTCTCCACTTGAAAAGGCTACAAGCCAGGATTAAAGTTAAATAATATACCATCAGTGTGGAAGCTGACCTTGATGTTGTTTTTGCCCTCAGTGAAGGTGTCTGACAACATCACTGAAAACGTCATGATAAAAAGCACGAGAGAAGTGCACAGCCTTGTCTTACTCCACTGCTGACCGAGAAAGTGCAAGAGCCTCATCCATTTTCTAGAACCCATCCAAGCATGAGGTCATGAAACTGGCTTTCCCTTGCAGAATGAGTGGATAAGAACAATTTATTCCAATGGCTATGAAGGTGACTGAAGCAGGCAACGTGGAGTGCTTAGAGCTTGGTCAGACATCAAGGATTCCGAGGTCATTCACTGCATCCTGGGCCAGGGCTAGCTGTCCTGACTTTTGTCTTACTGCTGGATTTCAATGACTCAGGAAGAGAAAGTAAGGCTGACAATTTTTGCAACTCTGCCTCTCCTAAATCCAATTCACACACAAGTCAAGATATCACCCATGATGCCACTGGTCCTCAGAAAAATCAAAGGACAAACAACCTTGTGTTTAGGTAAACGGAAGACAATGTTAGTGATGGTCATGAGATGCACAAGTCTTCAGTAGTAAGTGACAACTGCTGTTGCTATTTCTGACTCCATTCTTCCCAGTGACTCCATGCCATGTCAGATAGTCTATGGTTATTCTGATGTTGTCACCCAGAATTATAAGCTTGTCCTTTTCTGGCACATTGATAATGAAGATATCCATGTCTTTATACAATTTTTCTTTGACCTCATCAAGGTTTGTCATTGCTCCTTATGGCCAGGTGGGCTAGCAGCAGGGAAGTTTCAGACTTCTGCTGTTTATTGATAACATCATCATCATCATCATCATCATCATCATCTATCAGTATACAGGGAGCAGCAACACCCATTTAGGTTTGGCTGGGGAGATAAAGCTGCCAGTTGGGAATCAGAGAGCAGAAAGCTGAGTCTAGACTGGACCGAAATTTAATATGGTTTCTAAAATACACAGTGGTTAGTGAGAAGGCAGGAAACCATTCCAAATTTTTAGAACTTTTCCCTATGTTTTCTCTGCTTTCATTGCTTAGAATCCCTTTCCTTAAAGGGAGCCCCTGACAGAACACAAACCCTTCCTTAATACCTTCCATGACATACAAAAGGCAATTCCACGGACACCTCGGAGAAGAGGGAGGGTAAGCTGGAAGAGTTTTGGAGGCAGTTAGGCAAAGCACTCTTTAATAGTGTGACAATTTCTTTGCAGTTTTATTTTTCTATAATTAATAAATACAGCCATAGAAATGTGTGCCTGTGAATCATATATGAATAGAGAATCCCCAGAGACAAAATGTCTGTGACATGGGGTGTGTGTGTGTGTGTGTGTGTGTGTGTGTGTGTGTGACAGACAGAAACCAGTGCTATATTTTATATTATCCCTAAACAATATTGGATATTTTGGGGGTCCACCTAATTTCTTTTTTTTAACCTAACCTACTGCACTTTTGGACACCTCAGTTTATTTACTTGGACATCATTCCCATGGACATTAACCTTTAACTTTTGTGAGGGCAGGGACCATGTCATCATTAAACTTTGTACTTCTCACAATTTCTGACAGTGCTCTATAGACACTTATATATGTTTGTTGAATTGAAATTGAATTTTTAAACACATACTCCTCATTCCTTTTTTTTTCTTTTTTGGAAGTACCAGGCCTGTGCTTTCCTGGTGAAAAAATGTAAAATCCTATGGTTTGTGTAGGAGAGGGGTGTTATGAGTTATGTGCTAAAAAAAAATTATTACTAGAAAAATGAAAAAGCCTTGTTGTAGTTTTATTTTTATGAAGTAAGGAAATTTAGTAACATTCCATAAGGTTTTCCCTGAAGTAAAATCATGTCCCAGCATTTACATATTAATCCAGGCTTCACTTTTGTGATGCCATAAAACTATATGTGTGTATGTGTATGTATATATGTGTATACATATGTGTACATATATGTACACACAAAAGTCCATATGTATGCATATACGTACATATTTTATATATACACATATACAAAACAATAGGCTATTTGATATTAGAATCTCAGATTTATTTGTGCTTGGTATATCAAAAAAATAGGAAGTACCCTTCTCTACTCTTAATCTGCGACTTGTCTCTGAGTGAATAGAGTTTGAATGCTTGGCAGTGTAGCTTGAGAAAGGACCTCATTGTCTGGCATCTTCTCCTGCTGGGTGATCTTCAGAATCTTCCTAAGACAATTCAAATGGAAGCCACTCACTTTCTTGGCATGGCGTGGTTCAAGTTTTTCACAGGCATACAACAATGAGGTTGGCCCAACAGCTCTGTAGACCTTCAAATATCTCTTTCCTCTCACACTTTCCTTTGGGGCCTCCCAAATACTGAGCTAGTTCTGGCAGTGCATGCACCAACCTCATCATCTATGTGTACATCCCTGAAAAGTATATACTGCTGGTGCCACTTATGGATGGAGTGGTGCTGGCTGGTGGAGAATCTCTGTTTTCTTGGTGTTAATTTTTGGGCCAAAATTAGCACAAACAGCAAAGCATCAATCCATACTTTGTTACATCTCAGCTTCAGTGGCTGCATTGAGTGCACAATCATCTGTGAACAAAAATCATGCATCAACTCTCCCTCCACTTTTGTTTTGGCTTATAGACTTTTCAAGTTAAATTATTTTACCATTAATGCAGTTGCTGACCTTGATGTCATTTTCATGCTCTATGAAGGAATCTGACAACATTGCTGGGAAAAAATCATGCTAACAGATATGGGACCAAACACATGGCCCTGCTTCACTCCATTGGCGATTGGGAAAATGTGAGAGCATCATCCGTTATCCAAAATCGGGGGAAGCATGCCATCATGAAATTGGCATACAATACTTGGAGAAGATTTGCAGGTAACCAAATTTGACATAATTTTCTACAAGCCCTGGTGACCGACACTATCAAAGGTCTCGATTTTATCTACAAACATTTCATGCTATAGTTTCTTGGAGCCACAGGTGAGAGTTGGATAAATTAAATGAACACCAAAGGTGGAAAGCAGCCCTGAAAAAGGCTCAACAGCCCTCACACCAGAGGTGCTGGTCTTCTCTGAACACACTCTACACTCCATATATACAAATACATGTAAATATATGTACGTTATAAAATGTATATTCACATGCATATATGTGTATATACACATATCCATACATACATACTCACATATACATGCATGTATATACATATACATATACATATACATATACATATACATATACATATACATATACATATACATATACATATACATATACATATACATATACATATACATATACATATACATATACATACATATACATATACATATACACACATATACATATACACACATATACATATACACACATATACATATACACACATATACATATACACACATATACATATACACACATATACATATACACACATATACATATACATATACATATACATATACATATACATATACATATACATATACACACGCATATATTTAGAGTTTGTCCTGAGGGAAGGCCCCAAGATTGAGGAGAACTAGAACAGGCTTCCTGAAAATAAAAGTAGGACTTTAGCTCACGCTTCCAGAAAGCCAAGGATCCTAGGAGGTGAAACTGAGAACATAGAACATTCTAGGAATGGGGACAACCAGTGTGATAACATGGAGGCAGGAAATGGAGGGTCATATGTGAGAAAGTTCAGGAAGGCTATGCAGCTGGGTTGTAGGGTGTGCAGACGGAAACAGTATGAAAAACTACAATAAGGATTCCCTTTCTGTGTCCTTTCTCTTTCAGAGCTCATACTAGGCCTTTTCTATCTGTATCCTGTTGCTTCTTTTCGTTCCAAACACTTCCAGTTGAATAGACCATGATTCTATGTTACTTTCAGAGCATTTCCATTATCTTATGTTATGATGTCTCCTGTTTTATTTCTATGGAATATACACTCTGTTAATAGAGATATTACTGTATTTGAGAACTGAATGACATATATGCAAGTGGAAAAATACCTTTAAAAAGCAGAGCTATACTTATTCTCAACCACCACTGATGGATTTCCCATATGTTTTATGTAGGAGGTTCTAAGGACTTCACTAGGATCTGGTTAGGTAGCCTTCAAAAAGATTATAAGGCCAATGAGATACACAAAACTAAAATAAATATGGATAAAAGAAAATAAAAATGAACATCCTGGATGGAGAATATTTTAAAATTGTATAGAAAGCCTATATATTTCAAATATAGGCATAATAATATATATACACACACATACATACATACATATACATACATACATATACATACATACATATACATACATATGTATACACACACACACTGTATGGCATATCTCAACATTTTCTAGACCTCTTTGTATTTACTTTAAAACGAAGCAAACAAGCCTAAAAAGACTTAAATGTGCAATTGAATAAATAACCAAGGTAGAGTTAGAGAAATGAGAGAAAAGGAAAATGTATAGGGACTATAGGGAAAACAAAAAAGCCTCAGACCTAAAGGACTAAGTGGAAAAGAAAGAGAGCAAGTGAAGAATGAAAAGGTTAGACTGTATTAGGAAGCAGGCAGGTGATGGCCTCCAGCTAAGTTAAAACTTGATTTATCAAGATAACCTGGCAAGCACTCTTCCATGGTAATGATTTTAATTCCTAATAAAATAATAAATCAATGGAAGGTGACCTGCCATGTTTATCTGGGGTGCCACAAAAATGCTCTCTGACAGATCATGAACCATGCTAGACAAAGTATGGCTGAACAGGGTTGGGGATTGATTAGAATAGCCTCCTCAGATGTATGTTGGATAAAGAGTTTCTAACACAGAAACAAACCTGTTATCCATGACTGGTTCCCCTTAAAGAACTCTAAATAGACATGTTGGAAAAAGAAAGCTCTTATTCTAGGATGAAAGAAACCCAACAGCTCTGTGAGCATATTAATATTTGAGAACGAAGATTTGGTGGTATTGTTGCAGGTGTGCAATTATCTGTGGGGTTTTGAAGTATAAAATTTGAGAAAGAAATATGCAATCCCAGGCTTTCTATCCTGAGTTACTCTGACAGGGCAGATGGCAATGGTGTGTAAATCGTCCCGAATAAGTATGCAGATCATATGCTTTTGGATACACAAGACCCAACAGATGCTATGTCAAAGACAAATTATACTCAATCCATGTATTTTATGCCACCACCACGTATTGCTTATGGCGGATTCTTACTCACATTATTTACCCTTAAATCATTTTGCATAAGCAAATTTTCACGGAAACATGCCCAGATAGATCAACAGTTTGTTTCTACATGAGAAGAAACAACTGTAAAGGAAAAAAAAATTGGATAAGGGGCCCTAATGACAAGTGAACATTGTTAATGATTGAATCGCTTCTACTTGATGAAGAAAGGGTTTTTATAAAAGACAGGTGGTAGAATGAAGAGAGTGTTAGACCTCAAGTTTGGGAGATCTGAGTTTGAATACTGCCTCAGACACTTACCACAGTGTCACTTGGGTCATTTCACGTGGCCTTTTTTGTTCTTTGTCATTTACAAAATAAGGCAGTTGGACTTAGTGACCTCTAAGGTCCTTTTTAGCTCTAAGTATATGATCCTATAATCTGAAATGTTTTCAGATCATTTCTATTCTTTTGAATTATAAACTATATAAACAGTAGTAATACTGGTTAGTCTTGGTTAAAAAAAAAAGATATAGGGGAATTCTCAGTTAACATGACAGAGTGAGACATTGTAAGGGTTCCAGAATCCTTCCATTCTTACTCCAAAAATATTAGAAAAATCAAAGTAAAGAAAAAAGGCTAAAACACATACATGATAAATAATATTATGAAGGAAGAAGGAAAAAAAAAAGGAAGGAAGGAATAGAGGAAGGGAGGGACTGGGTTCAGTCCTCACGGGGCCTGACCTCCACCCCTGTGCCTTGAAGAAAAATTGTTGAAGGCTTAGTTTTGGCTCATGTCTAGCATCTTCTAGCAAGGAGCAGAGCAGAAAAGCACTCAGTGAGTAATATAAATGAAGCGTTATTGATGCAGATATTTATTTCTTCCATATTAATACCGAAGGAAGGAAACAAGGATGGTAAAGGTCAATTAAGATAAAATAAAATGTTATACAACTGGAATGGATAAAATACTGTGAGTAATGCAAATGGAAACACATTCTGTTGAAGATTTTCTAAGAGTTGCTCTCAAATGAGTGGTTATACAAAGCAATTTAAAAAAATGGAAAAAAAAGAAAACAGAGAAAGGTGAATAAACTTCATAAGAATAGAAATTAATATGATTAAAATAATAATAAAAATGAAAATATCATGAGCCATTTTCCCCAAACATCAATATAAAAATAAACATTAATTTGGTAAATTATTTTCAAATTTACTTTAAAAAAAAAAAGGTGGGGAGGGAAAGAAATCCGAAGATATTAGGCATGCAAAATGGGAGATCAATGTAAGAGCCTAAGATGAAAAATAACATTATTTTCATAGAGTACAAAAAAGGATTATGATTTACAAAAATATCAAATACAGCAAGACATGAAGAAATAAATCACTTAAATTGAGCAATCTCAGAAGGAGAAATCAGACATGTCCTTAAAGAGCTACTCTGTAAAAAGGGTCCAAGATCAGATTGGCTTATGAGCTACATAATTTTATCAGACTTTAAAATATTAGTTCATACACAATATGGATTGTTTTTAAATGGGAATGTTTTCTTAATGGGAAAGATGGAAAGTTAGCCAATTCAGTTTATGATGCAAACATAGTTTTTTATCCCCAAACTGAACAGAGGAAAGATTGAAAGAATTATAGGTCTATCTAATTAATGCAAAACTACGAAAAAAGAAATAGAATTGAACACTACATCTAAAACTTTCCCTTTTTGACCTATTTTGATAATTTGAATTAAATTTGATTTTCATACCAGAGAAGGAAGCAATATATGAAATCAGAGGCAGCCCTGGGGAGTAAATTAGGAGTTGGCTTTGGTGACAGTCAGGAAGACCTTGCACATTCTGATTTTCCCTGACCCCGAGTACATCACTAATCCTCTAAGCATCCCTAGATCACTCTCTGAAAACACAGACTGCACAACAGGGACCAATCTTCATTGATAAGAGGTGGTTATCTCACTAAGAAGTCCCTGTACTAATGAAATAACATCTAGTCCAAAAGAATTCTAATCACAATGAGTAAATCTCATAAAATAACAAGTTTTTTTTTTAAATTCTATAATCTCAAGAGAATCATTAGGAAAAGCAAAAGACCAGACCTCAACAATACTTTTCTCTATCATTATTTTCTTTGAGATTCTAGACCTTTTGTTTTTCTATGTGAACTTTATCAGTCTGTGTTTATCAATTAATTTGAAATAATAAAATCATTTGTGAAATACTATGCAACATGAAGTATACTAGTTTAAATATATGATTAGAGATTTTGATAACACATACTACGCATGCATACATATATATACATATATATATATATACACACACATACAAACATGCATATATACAAAATCGATGTGTATAGATGTCTTTTGTCTTTACATCAGACATATGTTCTTCCTTGCCCTACTCTGTAATGAACCCCACCACGTGAGAAATGATTAAGCAAAAAGATTTGATGTAGGGACCTTATCTGACAATGTATACAACATGTACATTTCATTATCTCTCCTCCAGTAACTTCCCTGATTTTTCCATTACTCAGAATTTAACTTCCCCCTAGTGGTCTTTTGATTTGTCCTTTTATAATCATAGTGTATATATTTTTTCTTGGTTCAAATGAATTCATTCTGTATCAATTTGTGTGAATCTTCCTTGTTTCTCAGAATTTTCTTATTTGGCATTTCTTATTGCACAATAATATTCCACTACATTGATTCACCATAGATTTTTTTTCCTCAAGTATTTCTTAATTGATGGGCATTCACCTTGTTTCTAGACCTTTGACAGCACAAAAAGTGTTGCTATTAATATTTTAATTTTCCTTTTCTTCTGTCTTTTATTTCTTTGGGAAAAGTCCTCTGCAGTAGATTGCCAAATAAAATAGTGTGGTTTCATCACTTTTCTGAAATATTTCCACATTAAAATTAAGAATTGTTGGGCTAACTCATAGCTCATCTAACCATGCTGCAGTGTCTTCCCCAAACCCTCCAACATTAATTTTTCCCATCTTTTTTTTTTTCACCTTGATCAAGTTGTATAGTTTATATTTCTTATTGTGGAGAAATGATCAGGACTAAAAGAAGCAATGAGATTACAGGTGAAGGTGATGATGCATTAACCAATGACAGAGAAAATGTAGTGCCACTCCAAGGAGAACTTATTTTGCTTCCATTTTCTATGGTAAGAAGAATGTCCTCTAGACTAGAACAGGCTAACAAAAATTACTGATAAGAATTTGATGCCCAGGTTAAGTAAGATCCCTGAAAAAAGGATGATGAAAAATGCCACTCTCTTCATAGCAAGAGGAACAAGGGACTTCCAGGGCACATTATTTACATTGTCATGACGAGTTCAAGTCACCTAACCTACATAAACTACATCTGAAGGTATTGAAAAAAACTAGAAAATGTGATTGTTGGACTTCTGTCATGGATCATGTGAAAGATCGTAGTGAATTGGAGAGACACCACAGGATTGGAAAAAGGCAGAAGACCAGATTTTGAAAAACAGAAATGGAAGTGAGTTGAGTCTGCCATTTCAAGCCAAATTCTAGGATGCATTATTCAGGGGATTATTAATGTGTAAGGCATCTAGAACTAGCCATACTAGATTAAATTCACTTCCTTTTTTCTGGAAAGAGTAATTAGACTAGAATATTAGAGCTACAGTTTCCCTGGATTTTTATTTATTTCTTTATTTTTAGTAGTACAGTTGGGGTTAAGTAATTTGGTAGCTTTGACAATCATTATGTTGGTAGAGCCCAAATATAAGCAATTAGTAGTTCAGGTTGTTTTCTCCTTTTATTTCTATGACAAGGTCTTTTCTGGTTATATATGTAAACACTTACTGTGTCTTGGTAGGTGAACTTTCAGCTATTTCATATACTTTGTAGTCATCCTGAATTATGGCTGCTTCTTCCTGATTTCTTTAAGTGCTGTATTTTGTTGTTTAGTTGTGTCTGACTCTGCGTGACCCCGTTTGGGGTTTTCTTGGCAAAGATACTAGAATGGTTTGCCATTTCTCTCTCCAGCTTTTTTTACAGATGAGGAAAGTGAGGCAAAAAGGGTTAAGTGACTTGCTCATGGTCATGCAGCTATAATCTGAGGCAGAATTTGAACTCTGGTCTTCCTGACTCTAGGTCTGGCATTTAATCCACTGAGCTACCTAGCTGCCCAGTGCTGTATAAGAATACTAATTATTTTTATAGATTTATTTTGCATCTTACTTATTTTTGCATTTACTTACTACCTAGTTAAGGCTAATAATTCTCAATTACTTTCTTCCTTAATTTTCTGGAGTTTTTAAAGCATATTAGATTTATTATCAGCAAATGGGGTTAATTGTATTTCCTCTTTGGGAATGCCCTCCATATTCCATTGGGCAGCTAGGTGGTTGAGTGGATGGAATGCACCACCTGGAATCAGGAGGACTGGAGTTCAAATTCAACCTGAGACACTTACTAGCTGTGCAACCTTGGGCAAGTCACTTAACTTCTGTTTTACTCAGTTTCCTCAACTGCAAAATGGGCATAATAATGTTGCATACCTCCAAAGGTTATTGGAAATATAGAGTGAGATGATTTTTGTAAAATGCTTAGTGCAGTGTCTGGCACATAGCATTATATAAATGCTAGTGATTCTTGTTACAATTATTATCATTACTATTGAGTATGTCCTCCCACCATATTGAGCTTTTTCTAAAATGATGCCAGATAACTGAAATAGGTTTTATTTTTCTTCACATTTTCTTTCAGATACTATTGGTGAGCAGTTATGACAAAATCCTCCACCTGCCCTCACCTACTCCCTTTGAACCATTAAACCAGGTACAGTCTAGTAGTATCTTTAGTTAACCAATTTCCATCTTAATACTGGCTTGTAGATACAAAGAGCAGTGTAAAATCTAAATTTTATAGAAAGAGAAATGAGTTTTGAAACGGGTGCTCACTCTCTCTCGGAGAGAGAGGAAAAAGGGCAAGAAGATGGGAGGAAAAGCATTACTATTGTCCTTTTATAGCCAGGTTCTTTCCTGAATCAGCTTAGATGGCTTCTACTCTCTCAATAGTGGTAGTGGTTGTCACGGAAGTAGTTGAGGCTGCTAAATCAGCTGGTCACCAGTAGCTTTAAGAATCTCTTTCCAAGTTACACTGGTGGAGTACCTCCATCCTCTCTAAATTGGATGTGCTTAATTCTCACTTCTGACATTTTCTACTCTCTCTTCCTTTCCATTGAAAGAAGGAAATTTTTTATCTTTTTTTTTTAATAACATGGCAACAGATTGATTAAGGTTGGCTACATGAGGGGAGGGTAGCGGAGTTCCCTGCCCAGCTGTGGATGTTATTTCCAGCTACCTGCTACATTTCAATCATCACATTTGGCATATCATCCTTTTGCTTCCAAGAATGGAGACAGTGCCTTGGAGGATTTAATCTTTTCTTCTCTGAAATTTTGACTTGGCCTACTGCTGCCCTGACTGATGATTACCACATAAGGCCTATTACTTTAGGTAGGCTCCAGCCATCCCTCACTTTATTCCCTACTTCCTAGCCATCACCAACAACCTTGTCAATATGGTATATCCACCCCTCTCTCATTCCTTCCCCAGGTGCAAGTTCCAGACCAGTATTGAATCATTTCCTGGGAGATTTGCCATTGCTCTTGGCGGAAGAATATCACTCTACTACTCAATGACACCATTTTACTACCTCTTACCAAATTATTCTTCTTTGGTCACCACTTTGGTATATGAGTTATAAACAACTATTAAAATATCCTATTAGAATAATCTATCTCGGGGCAGCTAGGTGGCACAATGGATAGAGCACTGGAACTGGATTCAGGAGGACCTGAGTTCAAATCTGGCCTCAGACACATAACACTTACTAGCTGTGTGACCCTGGGCAAGTCACTTAATCCCATTGCCTAGCCAAAAAAAAAAAAAATCTATCTCTTTAGAGTAGCTCCTTGGAAAGAAAACTATGGAAAATTTGGACAGCATACTAAAAATCAGAGACATCACTTTGCCAGTAATGGTCCATATAGTCCATTATGTTTTTTTTTTCTTCTTCCCGGTAGCAATGTATGGCTGTTGAGAATTGGACTATAAGGAAAACTGAGCATGGCAGAATCAACACTTTCAAATTGTGGAGCTAGAGAAGACTTTTGAGAGTCCCTTGGCCAGCAAAGAGGTCATATCAGTCAATATTTAAAGAAAATAATTCAGTCTATTCACTGGAATCAAGCTGACGCTTAATTACTCTGACCAAATAATGAAAAGATGGGACTCATTTGAAAAGGTCCTGATGTTGGGAAAGATTGAGGGCAAAAGGAGAAGGGGATGACAGAGGATGAGATGGGTAGATGGTATCATAGAAACAACAATCATGAATTTGGACAGATATCTAGAGGTAACGGAGGACAGAAGGGCCTGGAGTGCTCTAGTCCATGGGATCATGAAGAGCAGGACACAACTGAACAACTATACAACAAGAATTAGGGTAGGGAATGTCTTTGGTTTGTGTTACTATAACCAACACTTCTCATAGTGTTTGACATTAGCAAGTACTTAAATGTTTTGTTTTTTGGACTCATAAGTTCTTTTTTTTCCCCAAAGAACCCCATTTTTTTCTTTTTGCTTCTATATTTTTGCTTTTATTTTATTTTTTCATTTTTAAAAAATCTATTGTTATAGGGGGCTTGTGTCTATATTTCCCCCCCAATTATCCAAGTTCTTGTTAGACAATGGTTTATTTCCTAAGAGCCTCAATCACTGTCTTTATTTCTGATGTTTTCAGTTAATCCTATTCTGAATAATTCAGGAAATTCTTTGAGCTGCTCTGTTGCCATCGCAGGGAATCCGGGGCTTCTGCTGAAAGAACTTCACCTTCTGAGTGGATTTTTAAACTCTGGTTCCTGCATGATAATATATCAGTCCCTTGAGATATCTCCCTTTTTGAATGATTATTTCTCCTTCTCCCTCAATTTCATCTATATTTATCAGTTATTATACTCTACTAAATGTAAATATACCTCTTTCTACCAGTCCTTTCTCTTTTGAAAGCCCTTTGGTAGAAGTTTAGGCTATAGAATCTTTCCTTTAAACCCTTTGGAATCTGCTCTCTCTAAGTCAGATCATTGCATTTTCCCTCCTCTCTACTTTCACAAAAAACAAAAATAAAAAACAAAACAGAGTAATTTCTCCCCTTTGCCACACCACCCTGGGGTTCTCATCATTTCTACCCTGTTCTCTGAAGGATGAAACTCTCAATTATGACAAGTAAATATTAGATGCTCTGCTTTTGGAAGAGAGACAGAGAGACAGAGGTCTAGAACATTTCTGGATGATGGAAGTACCTCAACAATGACTGAATCTCTACTTTGTAGATGCAACACCAATGTAATGGCAAACTTAAGAAATAATGGGATTATTAGAGGGGTAGAAGAATACTATTCTTGGGGCAGCTAGGTGGTGCAGTGGATAGAGCACCGGCCCTGGATCCAGGAGGACCTGAGTTCAAATCCGGCCTCAGAACATAACATTTACTAGCTGTGTGACCCTGGACAAATCACTTAACCCCATTGCCTAACCGAAAAAAAAAAAAAAAGAATACAATTCTCTATTTGGACACAGTGGAATATCAGAAAAGCAAAACTGTTAAAAAGTATGCTGATGTCAACGTTTGAGGTGAAAAAATTATAGAAAATATTTGTAATTGTCTAAAATCCATCTTGGGGCAGGTAGATGGCACAGTGGATAGAATGCTGGGCCTGGAGTAAGGGAGATCTAAGTTCAAATTTGGTCTCAGACACTTACTATCTGTATGACCCTGGGCAAGTCACTTAACCCTATTTGCCTTTGTTTTCTCGACTGTAAAATGAATTGGAGAAGGAAATGACAAACCACTCTAGTATCTTTGCCAAGAAAGCCCCAATTGAGGTCACAAAGGACAGAGCATTTCTAAAACATTGAATAATAACAGCAATTCATCAATATCCTTCTTGTCTAGAAAGATAAGGACATCTCCATATATTTCATTTTTCCAAACCGTTCCAAATCGTTAATATGAAAGGAGTAATATAGACAACAATTAACTATATGCAAAATAGTATATTTATTATCTGTAACCCTCTATTTTAGATGTAATCTATGTGCATGATTTTTAAAAAATGTCACAATATATACATGTTAGGTATTACTTGTCCTATTTTTCATCTAAAGAAATAAAGGTTAATTGTTTTACCTAAATTGACGTGGTTCATTTATCAGCATTAGAACTCTTAATATCTGCATAGTTAATATAAGAGGCTGCTGTTTTAAGACTATTAGTCTTCCTTTAAAATAAAAAATGTGTTTTCCTAGGCTCAAAAATTGTTTACAGACTCCCATTAGCTCGTAATTTATTGTTAACAAAACTTGAATTACCCTACCAAATGGCATGTGCTTGGGTGAGTCATAGCTTATGATATACTTTATTCAGTTATGTCTCAGTAATTTAAGCTAATTGAGTCAAATAACAATATGTCACAGGACCTGGGTGTAGAAGATTTCAGGTTCTGCCTTGGCTGTCTCCCTTCAATTATCAAATCTCACTAATCACCATTACCGTCAAAGTTGACATGAGAGTCTACTACAGTATTTATCTTACTCCCAGGACCTAGTCCAATAATCTAATTTACATTTTTATTCAATTTTCCTGAATTACTTTTATTCTTACTTTGGATCTCTCTGGCTGTGACATGCTGTTTACCAATCCTGAATTCTGTGAAGGTTTTCCCTGTTTCCTTTTCAGTATTGACCCTGTCCCCCCCAAAACAAAACAAAACAAAAACAAACTACTTGGTTTCTATTTCTTAACACTTTAGTGTTCTTTCATTTAATAAAAAAAAAAAAGAGCTTGGATAAGGATTGTGTCTAGGACATTTCTTAGCGAGGCAATTATCCCTACCAGTGTAGGAAGTAACTTCATAGACACATATAGGATTAGAGAATCGCCCAGGGATGGGGCACCTGCTGCCTCAAGAACAAATCTTCATTCTGTGAAGTTTGGATTCAGTCAAAGTGCCGCCCTCGAGGCTGCAGGTTCCCTACCTCTGGCTAGAGCATAGAGAGTAAATGATTTTCTAGGGTCACACAGTCATTATGTGTCAGAGGTCTGAATCTTCCTGGCCCTGAGCCTAGATGACTCTTTATCCTGAAATATAAAATCCTGCCTCTCTCTCTCTCTCTTTCTCTCTGTATGTATGTGTTTATGTGTGTGTAACAACAATTTTTAACTAATGAATCTAATGGGTTTTTTTCTCAGTTTTCATTCTACTTAGTCTTTTGGCAGATTTCAGCAGTATCAACTAGCTGACCTCTCTTTCCTTGGCTTTCATAACGTTTCATTTCTCCTACCCATCTATTTCTTCTCAATGCAATCATCTTTCTACCTCCTACTCCTGAAGGGCTCTGATGCTGACTCCTAAATTCTGATTTTGTGGTAGCATTTTAATGAAGGAATTTCTTCTAGAAGCTGACAAAAGGAAAAAATGAAGGCAGATGGCATGGGAAAGAAATGGGCTTTTAGAAGAGAATGAGAAAGCAGATGAGGTAACTATAGTTTAAAAAAAATAAGCGTCTACTCTGTCACACTTCTCAAATCTGAAGACATTCAACATTGAGGAGCAGGGGAAGGGAAAAAATGACACTCAATAGTCAATAAACATTTATTAAGTGCCTACTATGTGTTAGGCACTGTGCTAAGGACAGCACAGAAAAAAAAGTATTTTGAAACAAATGTTTGCCTTAGGAGACAGTCACTAAGATATATATAGATATATATATATATCTATATCTATATATATAGATATATAGATATATATATATACACACATATATAGATATAGATATAGATATATATAGATATAGATATAGATATAGATATAGATATATAGATATTTATTTCTATTTATATTTTAGGCAATTGGGGTTAAGTGACTTATCCCAGGTCACATAGCTAGTGAGTATCAAGTGTTTCGTCTGAAGGCAGATTTGAACTCAGGTGCTCCTGACTTCAGGGCTGATGCTCTATCTACTGTGCCACCTAGCTGCCCCAATAAGATATTTTTAAAAAGATGTTTTCCAAGATTAAAACCTTGTATGTCTCTGCTTCTTATTATGAAATGTTTGAATATAAAATGCACAAACTTTGTTTAAATAGGGACTTTGGGGACACACTTTATCTAAATGACAACTAAGGGGGCAGCTAGGTGGTGCAGTGGATAGAGCACCGGCCCTGGATTCAGGAGGACCTGAGTTTAAATACAGCCTCAGACATATAACACTTACTAGCTGTGGGACCCTGGACAAGTCACTTAACCCCATTGCCTAACCAAAATAAATAAATGACAACTAAGAAGGCCATGATTCCAAGAATATTCACATGCATATGATTATTGACAGTGCTCATGGAAAATCAAAAAGAAATCATTTTGTTCCTAGACATTTTTTTTCTCTCTCATTACATTTCAGGAATAGCACATATTCAAGGCAATATTTCATATTTCAGGGTAAAGAGTCATCTAGGCTCAAGGCCAGGAAGTCTCAGATTCCAGTCCTGCCTCTGACATATAATGACTCTGTGACCCTGGGAACATCATTCACACACTCTCTATGCTCTAGCCCAGGGTGGGGAACCTGCAGCCTCAAGGACACATAGGGCCCTTTAGGTCCTCGAGTGCGGCCCTTTGACTGAATCCAAACTTGACAGAACAAAGATTTGCTCTTGAGGCAGCAGGTTCCCCACTCTGGGCGATTCTCTAATCCTTTATGTTTCTATAAAGTTACTGCCT